CATTCGCGTATGCGACGTGAGAAAGACGGAGAATGTTCATCTGTACTGATCGAAGGTGAACTGTTTACGAAAAGCTTCGCGAAATTATGTATTTTAATTAGTTGTATTAACATGTGCAAGTTTTTTAATATTTTTGCAATGTTTGCAATAAGCTGACTGATTGATTTAATTAAAAAATCTACATTTGTTTAGCACTCAACAGCGACTTACAGATCATGGTTTATTTCCAAAGAATCTTGCGATTAGAAAATACTATTACAACTTTTCATTTGGATTTTCGAACAGTTGATTCAGCTTTATAGTTCTGGAAAGGTATCCTTTTATCCTTTGTTTATTCATCTTCCATGTCTGCTATTAAATATTGTTGTGTTTAAACTTTAGCTATTATTACATGCCTTATTATCTTCTACTTCAAAGTCTTTGTCTATATCCTACAAATTATTATTACTACAGATTGCCATTGTTGCATCACCAAATATAAATGTTTCTCTTATATTTGCACTCGATGTGTCACCAAGAGAAAGTTATGCTGCATAATTTGATGACGTCATCTTTAGTGTTTTTAATTTCGACCATGTCATTAGCTTACAGGCCATTAGTATTAACAATCACATTGAGTATTTCTATATGAACTTTATTTAAATGAGTATCAGTATTCTGTTAATGATTTAACAAAAAGGAATGTGTAAGTAACGTTTCATAAAAATTAATTCGATGTCAAACGCTCATTCAAGCAATTTACCTGCATTGTCCGTTCCTATAGCGAAAGCAAAATGGAATTTTGTAAACACAAGCATCTAGTTGTTAGCTTTCTTTCACACAATAGCAAGAAAACTTTCCGTCTCGATAACAATCAGGAACAATTAAACAACAAACAGAATTGTCAGTCTGTCAGACATTTTAATGGAACTTGAATGTTGAGAATTATCTTTGGCTTTAGCAAAAAAGTAATCAATCGTTTTACCAATTTCTTAACGGTTTGTGAACATGAGTTCCTCAGAACCACCAATGTTAAGTAGGTAATTATTTTTATTATTCTATTTGGCTTTTCGTCCGACCTTTAAGAAGCTCCCGTTAGATGTTCCGTTTCGTTTATGGCAATAGCTCACACATCTTCCACAGGTGTTAGGAAATTTAAATTAATAGATCAAAAAGCATATTTCTTTTATTTGATTGGTCTAAAAGTGTTTTGTGTTATTGTTGATGGCGATCATTCGTTCGATTTGTAAGATTACCATTTGTTATGACTGCCCATTAGCTGCTCATAAATCTTCGAATGAATGCAGAGATTTTCAAAAAATATCGTTGGTATCGTTCTTTAGGTCGATAAAATGTTTTATAATGCTAAGATATTGTTATTTTATGATGGTATTGTTGAACTTATAGTTTAATGTTTTTGCGTCGATTATAAAACCTTGATTTACTTGTTCAAAATAGTCAGCCTAAAAATGGGCTGTGTTTAAATTTATTATTCTGCAAAGAAATAAGAACAAATATGCATTTGTAATAGAAACAACAACCGCTCATTATCTTAAATATCACCTAGAGGCAAATGCTAAGCAAGTCAGAAGTAAAGGGCGTAAACACTTAGATACTAGACTCACTCAAGTAACTAGCATCCTCGCTATCAAGGGCGAGTGGGCTTGTCTAGGCGGGAACATGTTCCTTTCAACGACTAACTAGCGGCCCTTTCCACCTGCAGTCGTTCAAAATCATTGGTAAGATTGATTTCAAAATGTTTGGTAATTTACCTCTATATATATTTTGGTCTAAATCTACATTTTCTAATTAATATTTTTGCATAAAATTGCTTTTGCTTAAAGATAAATTCTGATGAATCTTTTGATAAATGTTTTAGACACTACAGCTTTCTGTAGCGTGACTTTAATCCTAATCTTGGTAAGCTGCTTGGTCCGTTATGAAATGTATAATAATAATTTAATAGTAGATTATTCCATTCTTAGTTAGACCAATGACAATATTCTAATCAACTTCTGGCTGACTGGTTAAATTGATAGTTGACATTCCATCGCAAAATGGCCAACACTAATATCTCAATATGCATGAGATTAGATAATCAGTTCTTAAGAAATTCTTATACGTACTAATCTTAAGTTCCATAAATTGTTGAGTTTTTAATCAAATTGTGGTCCAAATTTATGTTAAGACCTCCACCGACGATTGTCCCTTATAATACTAATACCTATATAACGTCAGATTATGAGGTCGTTCATCTTCATTTGGTAAAACTAATTTAAAAGTAGGCGTAACAGTTCCCTAGGCCGATACGGTTGATGAATTTTCAATTTTAGTTAAAAACATATTTATATGGGAAAATTGGAAATTTGAGCCATCTATAACATTCTTATAAATTGACACTTCGTTAAAGTTGAAGATATTAGAATGTTTATGTCTATGCGCTATACATTCCGAGGTCGGCTCGCGCCACAGACTAATCATTTACAAATCGCTTTAAATCATATGGAACCGGTATACTCTTGTATTTTACTGTTTGAAATTTTATCTATGGTGTCGAGGTTCGAGATGTAGGTAACTGACCGAATTTATTGGGTTTGCTTGGGTTCGTGGCCTGTGACCGAAAGGAATAAATAAGTTTTTAAAAATAATTATTGAATAATCTATCTGATGACCTCGATTGACTCGGAGTTTTTATAGACAAATGAAGACTTCTAATAGGAGATTGATACCGCAAGTAATGTATGGGTGTGAAACGTTAGAAGCCATTTGTCTGTACAAGTTGATTGATTAGTTATTGATACAAAGCTGCCGACATTACTTTGTCAACTCGGATTAGGGAATAAGTCAATGACTTGTTGAGTGTTGCTCATTTTTTTGGTGTATAATTATGAAGTATTAGAAATTTATGAATATTGGTTTAATGCATAATGCATCGGTAATCTGAAAGTTAACGGCAAAGTCGGCAAAAGATGAGCAAGATTAAGGGCGGCTGCTAAGTTGATTAATCAATCCTGATTTGTCCAAGACTAAGTAAAGGAACATTATAAATTAACAACACGACTTAAACAGAAATAGATACTACCAAAACAAAACACAATGCAACACGCAACACTACAAACAAACGAAACACCATAATCAGTAGCATCAACAGTGGCGAAAGGTCATCGATTAACTACATTATTTAACAAATCTATCTTACTTAACAAAGTACCTTGTCTACAGACAATGTCGATAACAAATGGCTATAGAAAATCCCTAAACACCATTGTATAAATCAAGCACCTGTTATGCAAATGTTCGGAAGTTGGCTCCCATCATAAAAACAATAAAAACTAATAACAGGCAATCAGTCAAAGCCTACCGACAATCAACTACTTTGTCAAAAGCCCAAAGGCCCGAAAACTTCGATCACAAAGCTCAAGAAACCAATTTATGTAGACCTTACGTGACAAGTAAACTCCTGCACAGTTGTGTTTGTAATGTGATTTTCTGTGTGTCAAGTTGTGATGGTTCTTCTGTAGTTTGGGCCATAGTTAACCCTGGTGACCTCCCATAGATTTGGTTGTGAAGACAATTCACACCCACGCAACGATAATGCGTGAACATCTCAATCGATTAAGAGTCGTTTGAGAGTGACTGATGGGGTACAATCGGTGGTATTTTGTAAACGATTTGACCCTTTGTTGACTTTTAAATAACATGGTTTAAACTTTTTGTCAAAGGTTACTCTACCATTTTATAAAAACCTATTTATTTGTTACATCATTTTTTGTGTGTTTCCTTCTCTTTCACAATCACTCTTTGGTTTCCTACCTATTTTTTGGGATGACCCAGTAAACGAGCAAACGGATCACCTGATGGTAAGCAATCGGTGTCGCCCATGGATACCCGGAACACCAGAGGCGCTACAAGTGCGTTACCGGCCTTTTGGGGATTAGGAATTTGAGGATTTTTGGAGATTCAGGGATTGAGGAGATTGGGGGGGGGGAAGGGTAATTGGGATTTTTGATGATTTTGTTTCTGAAGGGGGGTATTGGGCCTTCCGTGAAGCCTTAAAAACCTATCTTTAGTGTGCCCTTTCTTTTATGAGCTAAATAGAGGCTAAGTAGTTGAACTTCTTGGAAAGTTTCTTTAGTATTCAATTAATTATAGGTTTCTTAAGTTCAGATAAAAAGCTGTCTCTATAGGATATTTCTCGTAAAGAATGCCCGTATGAATTATTTCGTCAAATTATAAAGTCCCATAAGCATGGTCTCTCTTATTTAAAATCTAAACTGGTTATGTTACAAATTACAGGTTAGAGTTAGGAATCTAGGCAGAAAAAAATATTTTCTTATAAAAGAACGCAGTAGTTATCATAAATTATAGCCATATAGGGACTTATGGGTAATTTGTTTGATCATAAATCGGTGATTAGAACCGTTAAAACATAGTCGAAAAATTCCTAGTTCAAATAAACGAATAAACGGCTGTTTTTTATGTAGGTATATATTGGAAATTCTATCTATTTGTCGGTTTAACTACCTGCAAGATTTAATAGGCATAGCTTAAAATATGTTTCTACATGGGTATATCAATCAATCTGAATAAATTTAATTTAGTTTCTAAAAATAATGTGCGGTAAAGGATTCTGAAAGCGATGGTTTCATGCGGAATGGAAAGTTGCTGCATACATATGCAGATATTTTGTAAAAGTAACAATTTATTTAAGCTAGAGATTAGTAAAAGTGGATTTTAGCGAAAACTGTAATTTCGGTGTCGTGTGACTGGTTTTATTTAATTTCCGAGTTCATATGAATAATTAATATTTCGATACTGTGCTTTCGAAAGCGTTTAAAATATTCGGTCGTGATATTTTCTCTCGAGTTCATTTATGTTTCTAACATTAATCATGGATGTTTTACTTTTATATTAATTTTAGCATAATGTTCAGATTATTATAATTATTTTAGAAGGTCGTTTAAAATATGCAGGTCGTATTAAATTTGTTTTGATTAAATATTTTTATTTATTTGTTACAGATGATGAAGAAAACAGCTGTTCAAGGAATGGGCCAGAGAACGACACAAAATAATCAAACAAACGCCATCTGTTGGCTAGGAACAAAATGACAAACAAAGCATATCTCAGGATTGGTACAATGTTTCGACGCGAGATGGCGCGAGTATTACTACTTATGATGGCGGTTATTGCGATGGCGGCGGGAGCTTCCACCTCTGACGAAGAGGTGGCGCTAGCAAACATCACCAGATCCGCTAGTGGAGATTATTTTTCTCTCAAAGGTCAGTTTTTAAAAAGACCTAAAGATCCTTATAGCACCATAATATTTATCTAAGTACCTATGTAATTAAAAATTTATGTTCTACCTACCATTTCCAGGATCAGACTGTGGGCCCACTCGTTGCATGGAGGCTTCTCATGGAACTGCTCTCTCAGCAATCGGTGGTGCTGGTGACAGTGGCTGCCGCTGCCAATGTCGTCGGGATACTCCCGCTTTTCGGGAGGATCAGCATATATGCGTCAATCATATTGATGGTAAGGAATAATTTGATAAAGAACTAGACCAACATAAGTAGTTAGATGATGAAAGGACTCTAATAGGTAGAGGTACTAAATCTACCTACAACATTTGATTGAATACAATGGTAGAGCATTACCAAGCATTACCTACAGACGTTTTGGCTACTCAGGGCTCTAACCCCCGTAATAAAACATGTAAGTAGGGATTTATATAGTAGGTATTAATTTATTTTTAACTGACTTCAAAAAAAGGAGGAGGACACACCCACTGATAGGTTAGAAGTCGGTGCCACAAACCCACAACAAAATATAAAGTAGTTAATGGTCACAGCTGGTATAATCCACAATAAAATTGTAAATAGCTCAATAATGTTAGGTATCTAGTTAGGTTTTAATAATGAATAATTTTGTTTAAAACTTGTGGCACCGACTTCTAACCTATCAGTGGGTATGTAAGCTATAAGTACGTATGACCACTAATAGTTATTTTTTTCCTTTTTAGTTTTTACTTTTGGTTTGTCATTCGTTTTTGAAGTCGGTTTTTTTAAACGCAGTTTTTTAATTTTATGGACATTTCGTTTCGGATAGTTAAGTAAGTAAGTTTTCCAAAGGGCTTCTTAGTAATAAAAAAAACATTAATAGGTGCTGTAGAAATCCTATGACAAGACATTATTATCTCTTACGTAATATAACTGTACCATAGACATAACTATGTTAATACCTGATCTAGGTCTAAGGCTAAAATAATTTAAGTGGAAATTATAGGATCCCGTAACGTACTTTGCATCGACAATGAAGATGGATGAAGGGTCATTGTGGATTGTACCTTGCATTTGTTTTAGAGGACAAAGGTCCTAATTTGTGACAGTTAGGCTCTGCAACAATTGTGATACATTCATTAGTACTTAGGTACAGTCATTGTATAGACATAAGTTATTTCAAACCGTCATAATAGAATAAAGGAGTTTTAACTTTATTCTTTGGTAATTATGTCGAAAATCTATTGGGGAAATATAGTTTTACCATTCCTATTCTATTTAAAAATCTAATATAACTTGGTTTTTTTCAGAATGTCTGATGGCAAGCTTTGGTCGTGGTGCGACGAAACCTCAAATTCCCTTCGTTTTCTTACCGCTGAAAGGACAAATCATTTACCCGTCGAAAGAAATTATTTTTACTGGTAAGTCTAATTAATTAAAGATCAAAAATATTTTTTCATACCATAAAAATTGTTAAAAGTTGGAAAAAAGTAGCAAAAAGATTTTCCGATACCGGGAATCGAACCCGAGCCTCCTGGGTGAGAGCCAGGTATCCTAGCCACTAGACCATATCGGATATTATAAGCTTGACGAAATTGTAAACTACAAACTACAATACAAACACAATTTATTTTTTATAGTATTAGGTATTTTTAGACAGATTAAATATGTACAATTTTATTGAAACGATAGTGTTAATTTTACAACACTTGATTAAAATTGGCAGATATAATCGTATTATGTATTTACATTTTTTATGAGTAGTTGAAATAAATTCAATTTTTATCGAATACCTACTTAATATGTCAAGATTATGTAGCGACATGCTTCTTCATCTTTTTTAATAGGTATCTAGAGTTGCTGTTATCTATTAAAATGATAAATTAATTCATACACAACTTTTGACGATTGTTGATTACTGAATTTGGTTTCGATTCTCAGTGTAGGCGAGATTGAATGAGAATGTTGCGTCCGATAATCATCGATCTTACTTCGGGCGAACTATCTCTTTAACCCTTTGAGTACCGTCATTATAGACACAATTAAAGAACAATAGGTTGCGGTCACCGGTGTCCTGGCGGTGTTTGACAGTTTTATATATCAAATTTCAACCAACCTTTTTGTCCAAACAGACGTAGAAGACGCAATATGCGCTGTGACAAGCGCTCAGTACCTGTCACCCTCTGGATGGGTGACTCTTCGCGACCTAATCGACAACGACGTCCCCTTCGGCTTATACCGAGACGAGGGGAGCACTTTCCTACAGGTAATAATACATTTTTAATAGTAATTGACCTTCATATAAGCATGGTAACAAAAATACTTCATTTAAGACTGCACGCTTGGCTCGATGGGTGGGTAACTGATTGCCGCGCAACGAACAACTCAATGTGATCCACAGATTGTTGTTCCGGGTCCGGGTGAGATGTGTATGAGAACTTGTATGTTTGTAAACGCACCCACGACATAGGAGATAATCCTAGTGTGTTCTCTCTTTTAAAGGAATATGACCAATTAAGACGGTAGCACAGTCTATGCAACTCGAATCTCAACCTTCAATAGGTAGATTATGAAAATTATTATCAGCCGAAAACTGTTAGCAAGGTCTTCGGTAGTCTTAGCGTTACCAGAATATGTTTGTGTTTCTTGTGATATGCCTTGTTTGTCAAAGAATAAAAACTATGAGAAATTATTTTAGGCATGAATCCTTTTAGAGAAAATCACTGCTCATAGGATTCTTTCCCAGTCACCTTAGGAATGAGATCTTAGGAGATTACTGGGGGGATAGTACCTATTATTAACACCAACACAATGGATATAGGCACTCTAAAACCAGAAATATTCCACCCAAGAGGACATCAAATAGTTTACACAAATGACACTCAAGTTAAGAATTGAAATTAAATTGAACAAATACGTATGATAGTTATTTTCATATAAGTTTTATTTATTTATTTATTTATTTCTTCTTCACAAGGCATAACAGTGAATGGCGGACTTAATGCTTTAAGGCATTCTCTTACAGTCAACCATAGGGAAGCGCAGAGAAATGAAGTGGTTGATGCGAAGCCAGAACACAATTAAAAAAAAAATGTTATGTAATATGTACCTATACTACACACATAAATTAATTGTAAAGTAAAATATTAATTGGGATTTAAAGAAAAAAACGTTAGAATTTGTTAATTTTTTAAAAACGAAGTCATTATTATGCAACCCATGCGTTTGAAGATCTTTATCGTAAACAAGAACAATACGATGTCGAGCGGTTAGGTGTGACCACAGATAATAAAGATTCGATGCAAGATATGCCAACGTACAGCTTGGCGGCAAAAAGAGTTTGACGCGGTGACAGCTGGAACTAATAATGACTTGGACTGAATAAACAATCATCTGGAATAGTACCTCCTCTAATTAAACTTGATACTAATAACAAACCCCACATGTTTCCACAGAAACGATACTACCTCAATTATTCCAAAGTCTTTTTGGCAAAGCTGTATTTGAGAATTAATAATTTTACGACTGCCTCGTTAGCCGAGTGGTCGCAAGTGCGTCTGTCGGGCAAGGGATCTCGGGTTCAATTCCCGAGTAGGGCAAAGCATTACTAGGTTTTTAAAAAAATCTCAGTAGAAGCACAGAGTCTGGAATTGCGCCCGGTATATGGCAATAGGCTCACCCCCTATTACATGCGGCTCGTAATATATTAAATAGTGAAAAATGGATGTTACATTTGTACAGTGGCATTAAGTGCCGTAATGTGCACCTCTGTCTACCCCTTCAGGGATAAAACGTGTGATGTTATGTGTTTGTGTGTAATTTTAGGACACAAGATGTTTATCAGTAGTTGGTGTGTTTTGCATAGTGTCACCATTGTGTCCTGGCCTATTCGAAATCTTTAGTTAACTAAACCAAATTATAGGTTCGAGATTATAAAAGGTCGTATAGTATTTTATTAGCAAAATGACAATCCAAAAATAGAACTAAATATATTATGTGTACTGTCACTTTCAAAATGGTAGTTAGATAGTAATATTTTTCTAGAAAAACGATTAAGATTTACATTAACATTAGACAACCTAGCCTACTTAAGAACGTTTTGGGCTAAGTTTTGGGCTAGATTAAGCCACGTTATTGATGGATATCTTTATTTATTGTCACACTTTTAATTTCACCGGTGACAATGGAAAGTTGAATAGAGTTTTAGTTTATCTTAACTAAGATAGGAAATGCGAAAGTGTGTTTTGTTTGTCCTTCTGTCATGTTGCAGTAGAGGAGAGAAATAGGAGGCTGTATAGTAATATAAATAGGGTAGATACTGTTTTATCTTTGACCACAGGCACGAAACCGCAAGTGGAAAGCTGGTAACTAAAGTCTGGCAAACGAAAGTAGATACTGAAAAAGCCCGGCAAATTTAAAAAATATCAGTATAGCAACCCAAAAATTAGTATGTCATACCTGGAGTAACCTAATTTGATCCTTTATAATAATTTGTTTGTTTGTTACGTCTTCACGTCTGGTTACTCCAGGTATGACATACTAATTTTTGGGTTGCTATACTGATATTTTTTAAATTTGCCGGGTTTTTTCAGTCTCTTCTTTCGTTTGCCAGACTCTACTAAGATACATCTGTTTGTTAATTACTACCATTAGATATAACAGCTACTGAGTGTAACTTTTTATTATTTTACCGAAACATTTTCTTCTAGCAATTGATTATTTTGCAATTTGCAATCATTGATCAAACTGTAAAACGTAATAAAACGTACCTAATTATCCCCGGACAATCATTCATGAAAACTTATGACTAATTCTATTAAGTAGTTCATAGTTCGTGCATTTTAATTAATTAATAATTTTGACATAATTATGCGACTCATACACACGGGGGTGATATATGATTTTCATAATTTGTAGGTTATCATAATATACATCTGTAATATATTATAACACCTCACAGGGACGCAGCTGATTGGCTGAGTAAACTGAATGTGATAATTTGTCTATTTTTCTAGGGTATGATTAAATTAATAAATAGATAACTTGTCAGCATCAGCATGTCTAACTTGCCACTGTCCAATGTAATACCCACTTTTCACTATTTATGTTATGAGTCCCATGTAAAAGGGGGTGAGCCTATTGCCATATGCCGAGCACAATTCCAGACTCCGTGCTACCACTGACATTTAAAAAAAGCCCTGTAGTACTTTGCCCGTCCCAGGAAGGTCACAATTGCGACCAATCGGCCTACGAGGCAGTCACGGATGGATAGTTATCATATTATAGTATTTATCATATCATAAACCATATTCACACTAGCCACTGAATGTAAAACTAGTACCTTTCTTTTTAAAGCATCGTGCCACATCTTGCATTGAAGTGCATACGATGATAACATCTTTGTCCAGCTAAACTAAATTCATAATGCGGTTATGCACACGTGTAAAACTCATAAATGTTTATCTTTTACTGGATTATGGACCGGTCTTTTGATAGCCAAGGACGTATATAACACTTTAATGTTGGGCGAAGAAATAAGGTTGGTTTTCCCACGTCATTTTAAGTATTGTCGATGAGATTTTTTGGAAGTAGAGTGAAGTCAGCCGTCTCGTAGATCGAGTATTTTGAAGTGTAACTGGAGTTTGTTCTAGTACTGATTTTGTTCACTGTATGGAATATTATTATATTGATTTAAACCTCCATACCTACTGAGTAGGCAGTCTGAAATTATACAGTAGATACAATTAGAGTGTACTGTCTTCATAGACAAAACTCTATATCCTATTCTAATGGATGCTTATCCATCATAATTCACCTAACAGTTCACATAAAAGAAAAAAATACAAAGATGAAGCAGAATGCTGACCACATAACTTCTAAAATTAGCAGGATTCGAATCAAAAGTCGGTGTGGTCCTTTTAATTGGTGCGAACGTACAAAGTAGCAATAACATAATTAATTTTGAGCTTACAGTTTTATTAAAAAGTCGTTTTAAAGTATAAAATACGGACTCATTATCCGATTCCAGATACGAACACAAATATTCGTTTTGATAAAATAAAAAAGGAAAAAGTCAAGGTGACCATTTCATTTGGATATTAAGACCAATATTGTTCGCGACTAAGGCTTATTGGACCGATTTACCTGGTGGACCACCATCAGGCAAAAGGGTGTAAATTGGATAGGTACACGGTTGAATATGTAACCAAATAACAATAAACTCCAATAATCCTTACACAGGCTGCATGTCCACCTCCAAATAATAGCCTTTAACACTATAGAGATTGTCAAAAGCTATTTTCTTTTAAATTCCTTGAAAAATGGCAAACATAAGATAGATTGTGAAATTAACAATAGGGCACAAAATCTACACAACGACGTGTAGTATCACTACTGAGAAGAACAAAATAAAATACATGAACAATGACGTTATTCTTAACCCAAATCGTACCTACTTAGTATAAACAATTCAATTCCTAAAATCTTCAAATTGTTAAACAAACTAATAAAACTTTGAGTACCTATCTTCATCTAAAGGTTCATTAAAACATTTATATGTATTCCTGAAATACAAGTAGCAGTTACTTGACTACAAAATGGCATCCCAAGTCGTCTAGTGTCGCTTCATAGCAAAGATGTTAATCTTTAATGTTGAAGAACTATCCTTGTACTAAGAATTGACAGAAACGTATTGCTTTTTTACCAGAACCAACATGAATCCTGACTGAACCGGTAACCATTATGATCTAGATGATGCATTCGTAGAAATGGTTCGTCTTGTGGAACCAAGAGCTAAAAGTGTTTAGTCAAGTGATAGTTATGATCGTATAAATTTTCCCTCCACTAAATTCTTCTTACAAAAGAAAAGTAACACGTCAAATGTAGCCCACCCTTTAGAATGTTTGTCAAAACAGTGTTTAAGATACCAGGTGATATAGAGTAAATAAAATTTAATACAAATGCTCACAGAGTAAAAATAAACAGAACTGGTTCACTGTTTAATCTAAAAAGGCACGAGCCAATCCTAATATGTAATTAAATCAATATTTTCATTGCTTGCCGGTCGGAATTAACTTGTACGTACGTCGGAATCAAAGTAATCCAGTTTCAACGTTTAGTCGTTATTGCTTTGATGTCGATAACTGATTAAAAAGAAAGAAGAACATCTCGATTATCAGGAACAGAAGTTTTGATGTTGTTCAATCTGAAGTATAAGTGTCACCGTTAAGATTTTAATAGCACTATCAATCGAAAACGGTAATCATGTTACGGACAATTGTAACGTAATAAACGATTTTATTAATTTGTTTTATACAAATTCGTCATACAAATCGGGTCGACAACGGAACATATGAAGATGTTATCTCATGATCACAATTTTACGTATTTTTGGGCGGTCTCGACAAAACGCTACAGATTTGTTGGATCCATCAATCGAGCATGTGTCCAACTCAGACGAGCGCGTGTTGAAATGCAACACGGACTCGATGCAGCCCCAGGATAAAGGCGAAGGCGTCAAAGGAGCAATTTGTATAATACGTCCAAATACTTTGCATTTAGATCTGTTAACATTGATAAAGTTATAAGATGGATTTGCATTTCCATTTTGCTCTCCCCAGGTAAACTTCGGGTAGACTCGACATTATGTTAACAAATGTACACACACGTTTTCGCCCGATTCATACTTTTTATTTCTTTAAGCTTTTTATTTATCAAGTGATTTGTAACCAAAAGTCACGTCTGCTTAGTGACAAATGCTGCAACGAATTGCACCTGATAACTGTTGATTTAATCTGCTTAAAGTTGCGGTCCGAAAAAATGAAGGTGCAAAGCTTAACGTAATTTTTTACATCTTCAGATCGCATTATAATATTTTGGAACAAGAATCCTGAAATGATTTTTGGAATTTATTTGACAGTGGCGCGGGTCGGCGACACTGCACGCGAGATTGGAGGGACGTTTGGTCGCCGCTCATGTTCTATGTTCCTCGTCCACTCCCTCACGGCTTGTTGCCAGCTGCGCAGCATTCCGCATAGCAGGTGCAACCCAAAACGCTTTGCTTGGTGAGTCATACGTACCATTCTGAATTGATCATTTGATGATGTGTAAAATTAATGAAACTAATCGTCTAATACTTATGTGAATTCTGATGTGACTCATTCACAGATGTACGTTCAATACCCTTCCACGCTGGCGAGCTAATTACATCGGAATCAACGTCGCAAAATCAGGGGCTCAGTGTTCTGGAGGCTTTAGCCATTGGAGTGTGCGTGCTGCTACTGATTTTCGTTTATGCAGCTGGAATTATTTTCTATGTTCATTACAAGCAGAGGCAAAAGCGCAAAGAAAAGGACCCGGAACAAAACCATGCAAATACTATGTCCACAGATAACGGGTCTATGGAATCACGCATCGATATGAGCAATGTGGTAAGAAAATTACACTAACTTCTTTTCTTTAAAGCCTCAAAAGCTTCAATGTTTATGTGTTCTAAAGTATTTATCTTATGCCCGATTTTCTTTTCGTAGATGTTGAAAACAAATCCCTTATTGAAACTGAATGGTATGAGTGGTGATTTCCTGCATGACACGGGTTTTTCTGATGGCAGTGAACGTAACGAAGATACTCTTGACTCATCCTCTAATAACACACACACGCATAATTCTATGCACAAGGTTAGTATTGTGAACTAATTGACTAGTACTAAATCCCCATAGTTATGGTCAATGGCACATGGCTATGAAAATCTTATATATATTTATTTAGTTCCAGAAATTAAATGCCAACTCAGTGATATCTGCAATGGTGCACTCAAGGAGGAAAAAGACTCTCAGGCCATCTATAAGAAATGCAAGTTCACCAGAGCCAATGAATGAACGTGTCCAAAGACGATCAGCATCACCTGATACTCTGGAAAGAGCCCCACATTCTGAACTGTCAATTGTAGATTGTACAATGGAAAATAATAACTACAACGCAAACCGACAACTGCCACCTTCAAATGGGGATTCTTCATATAGAAAGAAATTGTATTTCAATCCAGTCTTTTTCGAAACCGAACTTCTGAAGGTAAGATTATTTTTATATCAATCATAATTACCATGAATATTATAAAACTAAAACAAAATTAAATAATAATTTTGCCTTTGTTCCAGAATCCACCACCAGCTGCAATAGAATTCTTGATTAAAATTCGTGAAGTTATGTCAGTCGCTAAAGAAAAGATGACATCGAAACGATTCATCCCAATATTATCTGATATACCGGAGGAAGATATGTACCATGCTGTAGATCTAGGATGGGACATACCTTGCGCACGACGTGGTCGTAGATTTAGTGCAATAAGTCTTAAACAAGAGAACAGTCGCAAGACTGCCGTCTGCGGAGGATGTCCAGGCTGCGATAGTAAAGCAAAACCACATAAGGTAGCTCTTACGAGATCAAACTCTTGCAAGTCATGTGTAAGTGAAGATTATAAACAAAGAATAGTTAGAAAATGGCTTGATGAAGTGCCGTTGCCTACTAATAATGCTAAACCAATGAAATCTGTGGCAAAGGTTAATGGAACTCCAAGAGTTGTAGAGCCTCCAAAGAAAGAAGAGCCGCGTCCTAAATCGGATGGAACAGTTAAAAATGAGACAACGAAACCGAAGATCACTGAAACCAAGCTTAAAGCAGAAAAGAAATCGAAGATTATTGAAACCAAACCCAAAGTTTCGGAAAGTAAACCTAAGACTACGGACACTAAACCAAAAGTCACTGAAATAATAGCTAAAGAGAATATGCGGGACATTGATTCTAAAGAAAACTTTACTAAAGAACTTAACTTACAAGAAATGAAAATAATCAGTAAACCAATTAATCCAAAAGAAATTGAGATCATCAGAGTAACTACAGTTCCAGACCTCAATGGATTGAACAATCTCGTAAATATCAATGAAGCTGACAAAATACCAAAACCTGCTACTCCAACTCCTCCCCAAGAAAAGAAGAGTCCGTCAAGCCACACATCTCGACGAATTAGAAAGAAACTTCCACCACCACCACCTCCCCCGGCCGTTCCGCCAGAACTTCCCAAAGGCGATGATGAAGAGGCACCAATACCACCCGAAGTCAAGGTAAAGATGGAAGCCGTTATACGTGAGCTGAATACTTGCAGACGTGTAGAGCCAATAGAGATAGAAGAAATGAAACTGGAAACTATCGCTCCAATTGCACCTAAAATAGTTATACCCGTAATAGCAGCCGATAACCACTATTACAGTGATGACAATACGCTCTCCACAAGAAAGAAGAAGCAAATTTATGGCAGTCAAGATAACTTTATGGAGTTTGATAGTTTGGAGCGTAACATGCTTAAGAGGCGCAGATTCTCAGTCGCTTGTGGACCAGAGTTATTCCATAATGATAGATTTGAACATGGCCACAATTTGTTAGACACTAGAGAACGATTAACAAGTAGCTGGCTCGACGTTAAGAAGGCTGAAAATCCTCCAGTTGTAAATCAAATCGTAACAACGAACGAAGTATTTATTCAAAGCATGGAACCTACGTATAATAATCTTGATGATCTATCAAAGCCTGGTCCATTAACCATACAAGTCCGCGGTTCTCCGATAGAAAGTCGGCGCAATTATAACAAAGATGATTTTGATCCGGACACTCTTGACAGGCGTGATACTAAGAAACGTGTAGAGAAAATATTGCTGAAATCAGCCGGCAGCTTCAAGTACAAGTCGACGTCATCAGAGAGTGAGTCATGCAGGAAATCACCAATAGCTATCACGACTCGAAAGATTGGCAATCTGCGACAAATATACGAAGCTAAGGCAAAGGCACAAGAAGAAGAAATGAAGTTCTATAGCAGACGTGGAAGCGTTACATATGGACAAGATCTGTCCGCATTTATTAGATCTGGTAAGACTCCAGATCTGATCAGACACATTGAGGGACAAAAGGATCCTAAACCTCCGATACCACCAAAACAACGCCGAGGTTCTGAATTCTACAGTTCTACCCGTGAAAGTCCACCTGGAGATCGCCGTAGAATGTTAGAAGACAGGGACAAATTCTCCCAATATACCAGACTTGATAATTTGAACGCTCGACGATCTGGACGTCGATCTGCCAGGACTAGATCACGAAGAACTGATATTAGAAAACTATACAGAACCGAAGACTCTGGATACATGAGTACAGACTCAAATGAATCGAAATGTAGAGCGCGTTACTTGATGCAATTGAGACCCGTGAAGACCGTTGTGCCAGATCCTATTCCAGTGCCAGCCACTCGAACTACTATTGTGAAAACATCTGTTCTGCAAATAGAATCCGACACAGATGATTTGGAATCGCTATGTGATGGAAGAAGTGAATCAGGTGGTGAGAGTGTCGAAACGGATTCAGTCTTCTTTGGCAATTTCGATGATTCGAAAGAGATGTTTGCTGAATTGGGTCTGAGTGCTTTTGAGCCTCAAAATAAGATGATGCAGAGTCACGAACAGATTGATTCAGGGTTTATGGGAGAGACCAATATAATTTTAAGTGGAGACAGTGACTCGGAGCATAGGAGTGTGATATCTATAATGACTGGGCACGATGGCAGAGCTTCAGCTGCCTCAATTAGCAAATTAGACGAAGCACCTTATATGCATACCATAGAGTGTTGAACAAATGTAATTATATAATTATTTGTAAATGAAATTGTACATAAAAATTGCCAATTTAAATACAATTATATGGAAATTTATTGAATACCACTTAAGTAGCACTTGTAATTAGGTTTAAAATCGAATAATAAATGCATGCCTTGATTGAATTTAGTAGAAGATATTTAGAATTTGTATAATGTAATGATTGTTATGTAAAATTTTGAATCAATTGTGAATATTATTAGAATGTTTGTTTGTCTTTAAGTAAGTTGATAGTCACCGAATTTTACCTCAAAACTAAAACGGTGATGCCGTGCGATAGTTTTCTGTGTAAATTCTATCTACTTTTGTCTTACTTTTTTATCTTAAGATTAATTTATTGAGACCGTTCATTAGATGAACAGCCCACCATTAATGTTCGTGCCTAAATGTTAAATTAATTTATCTGTTTGTTAATTGTTATAATATTCTTTCGATTTAATTAATTGTTATCTTCATAATATGCCATTTTATGCTCAATTTATGTTTAATCATCGTTTTTAGTTTTAATGTATATAAATAAAGTAATTAGTAGGTATAATGTGTTACGAGTATGTAAATTTATAGCCGGCCGGTTGTGCAATTAAATTTTTATTAGTTTTTCGAGAAATAAATGGATTGGAGTATTTTTATGGTGTATGGTATACGTAAGAGGCTCAATTATTTATTGAAAAATTTATATGTAAGTGAGATAATTATTGTTTAAACAAAATATTTGCAATATAAATGTAATCCTTAATTTAGTCAGTAGTGTTTGTAAGAGGGACTGTGTTTTGTAAAGATAATATTTTCAGACTTTGTAAATAAAGTCGTTATAGAAAATATTTTTGTATGTGTAAAATATAAGTAAATATGTTGTGTTATAATTCATGTTGTTTTATTGAAAATCCTTAAGAAACCCTACCTACATAACATGTACGAACCAGTAAATTCATATCAAATGTTCAAAACCTAAACGAATAAAAATCTATAACACATAACGTAAGACTGTCTCGTTGGCCGAGTGGTCGCAAGTGCGACTGCTGGGCAAGGGGTCTCGGGTTCGATTCCCGGGTCGGGCAAAGTATTACTGGGTTTTTAAAACATTCTCAGTAGTAGCACGGAGGCTGGAATTGTGCCCGGTATATGGCAATAGGCTCACCTATTACATGAGACTCATAATCATAATATAAACAGTGAAAAGTGGGTGTTACATTGTACAGTGCCTACCCCTTCGGGTATAAAAGGCGTATATTATATTATGTTATAACATAATAAAAAAGTAAACAAAAAAAACAATCAATATAATGTTAAAACCTTTTTTATTTTGTAATCGAATACATTCAAATTGAATCTTTTTTTCTGGTACTAAATTTAAATTTGACGCGCCAAACGGCCAGTACTTTTAAATTATCACTGCTATCTGTTAACCGTCAACGCAGGCATCAATTTTACTTAATTCGAATTGATGTAAACTTTACATCGTACGCATCTTAAATCACGATCTATCAAGGAAATTGTATCTTTGATCGCACCGAGTTAATGTACTTGTGTCTGCTTTATTGATGCGAACATTCTATCAAATCATTCAAATTCAATTATTTTAACATTTTACAGACATTTGATTATTACATCACACGCATTGCTCTTTAAATTCAATGATTGAGGTGCAAAATGAATGGAACGCTTGTTTTTTATATGAAATATTAAAAAAGAGGTGGGAGCCTATTGGCGATACAATACAAGCTACTACGGAACGTTCAGCAAAGCAAACAAATACCTTTAGGACATCTACCTGCGGAATACAATGAATGACAAAAAAATTGTGTGAACCCAAAGCGGGCCAAGCATTATTGGCAATTTCAAATTTTGATAAACTTGCACTTATACAGACACAGACTGCACGGTTGGTGCGGTTGCCACGCAACGTGTAGCGGGTTCGATTCCCGTACAGGGCAACTGGTTGTGTGATCCGCAAATTATTGTTTCAGGTATGGGTGTTTTTGTGTATGTGAACTTGTATGTTTAACCCACGTAACAGGAGAAAATCTTAGTGTGGGGCAACGTTTTTTTAATATAACTAATAAAATTTTATAATAATACTAACGCATATATTGGGCATAATTCCAGACTGCAGGTCTATTCCGAGAATTCATGAAACGCTGAAAATACCTAGTATCTAGTAAGTAATTTTAACTCGGCAGTTGCAATCAATAGAGCAACCAAGCAAGGAGATTTTGTCAATAAACCCAAATTAACTTGTTCCCTCTTTTTTATGGTATAAGCTGGTAAACGAGCAGACGGATCACCTGATGGTAAGCGATCGGCGTCGGTCGACACTCGAAAAACTAGAGGCGTTACAAGTGCGTTACCGGCCTTTTGGTATTTGGAATTAGAGGATTGTAGGGATTAGGGATTTTAGACACCACTGACAAACGGTGAAGGAAAAACATCGTGAGGAAACCTGGACTTATAATTTCTAATTATAAGTTTGAAATCACCAACCCGCATTGAGCAAGCGTGGTGATTAACGCTCTAACCTTCTCCGTGTGAGAAGAGGCTTTGCTCAGCAGTGGGCATTTATAGGCTGTTGATGTATGTATGTATGTATGTAGGGATTAGGGAGGGGGATAATTAAGCCTCCGGTAACCTCAATCACACGACGAAACGCTACACAACGGTTGGTTCACGTCGGCTTTCTGTGAGGCCGTGGTATCACTCCGGTCAAGCCGGCCCATTCGTGCCGAAGCATGGCTCTCCCACATTAAAAATCTTGATGAGAAAGAGACAGAGAGTAATACTTGAATTGTAGATAGTACTCAACATAAAGTGATCAATCACCAATACACTCAGAAAATAAATTGATAATACATAAGACTATACGATTACATAAAATGAGCTGATATCAGTAGATAAATATTGTTTGAGTATGTATTATCTCTAAACCGAGTAGACAGCTATTTCGAGATCACGTCCATCGGCCCATTAGCTCAGTTGGTTAGAGCGTCGTGCTAATAACGCGAAGGTCGCGGGTTCGATCCCCTCATGGGCCACTATCTTCTTTTTGGATACATGTTATTTTTGGGATTTTGTGCAATATTGTTACTGATTCGTCTTTAAATATGAATTATATAATTGAAAAGGTAAATCAGTTACGTTAAATGGTTGCAGTCAGATAATTTTCATGTATCAGTTTCTGTAGCTTTTCATAAATGCCGCGTTAAGATATTAAAAATTACTGCTTATCTATGAACCTATTATTCGTTCAAACACGATATATGCTTAAACTATCAAACACCAAGCGGTCACCGGTGACCGCAACCTATTGTTCTATAATTGTGTCTGTAATGACGGTACTCGACGAGTTAAGGTGTTATACTGGTTGTAAACGGAACGCTCCGCAAACGCAGACAAAAAGAAATTGTTTTTTAATTGTCACATAACATAACATAACATCACGCCTTTTATCCCCGAAGGGTAGGCAGAGGTGTATATAATGCCACTGTACATATAACACTCACTTTTCACTATTTATGTTATGAGTCCCAGGTAATAGGGGGTGAGCCTATTGCCATATACCGGGCACAATATCTGACTCTGTGCTACTACTGAGAATTTATAAAAACCCAATAATACTTTGCCCGACCCGGGAATCGAACCCGAGACCCCTTGCCGGCAGTCGCACTTGCGGTGTCTCGTCTCGTCTCGTCACACTCGGTCAACGAGGCAGTTTTAATTGTCAATCATTTTTATTTTCATGTTATTCATGCAGTATCGCAGCCTTGAATTGATTACAACTATTAATAGGACAAACATTTAATTCCTTACTTCTACCATAAAACTTGTTTTTTACCATTATCTGTCGGTTTTTTTCCGGAGCATTCCGTATTTTTTTTTTTAACCGGGGAAATCATCGGATGACTGCTCCCGTCTGGGTGAGGCGGGAGGGAGTGTCAGACTCTTACTGACTAAAAACCACCCCGCTCCTTCTCCTGCACGTCGAGTCGGAGCCCCGGTTACCCGTTAGGTTCTCCGCGACTCCGAATCGGCATCGGCCGTATTGGGCCCCATCTGTGGTGGTCTGATGGCTCTTTGAGGCGCGCGCCGAACGCGACGCGCCGTACGCTCCGTATACACTCTATATTATGTTATACTTAAGGTACTTGCCTCTGCAGTCTCCATAAGTTCTACTTCCACAACATACAATATAGACGAAAGGAGCTGTAGCCGTATTAAAACAATTTGATCGATAAGTATCCAATGTATATTTCGTTTTGAAAATGCGATCACAACTAGAGCAGTAAAGCTGGCATGTACATACGTGTAAGTATAAGAAGGTTCAGGTACGAAGGTCTGTCTTTACGTATTTGGCGCTATAATTATGTCTAATGTATCTAGTCGGTGCTTTACGAGCGGTCGTACATTTTCATTGATAGTAACCAAGTGCGCCAAGACTGTCCGTGAACAGCGAGCTTCTCCCATTCCCTCGGGCTAATGTTACATGCGTTGAGATGCCTCTTAAACACATCCTTATAGCAGAGATGTTAAACTAAATTAAAACTGACTTGAAACTAAATTCAGTAATTATTGAGGGTCGCCATTACCGAAATCGGTAAGGAGGACTATATGTATACATACATATTTCTGTGTTACAGTTCTTCCATGTGTTGTCTCAGACGAAAATCAACTACAATATTTGCAAATATCTTTTATTTCGATCAATAACACGTGTGAACAAAATATTGTGCACCTGCAACACATCATAAAATAAACTCCCTTGATATTAATATAAAGGTGTCAAAAGTTTTATTCTTGGGTAATATTAAAAATCTTTACAAAACCATAAAATGAATGAGACTGTAACATAAAATTGAAGTGCCAAAAAGATGATAATGGCCCATGAGGGGATCGAACCCGCGACCTTCGCGTTATTAGCACGACGCTCTAACCAACTGAGCTAATGGGCCGATGTTAAACTAAGCTAAATACTAGACATCTAGAACTTACTGCTTTTCTCATATAAGAGGGCGTTGGGCCTTTGGTAAACGGGTGTGAGATCCCTATTTTTTATACATTTGATGGGCCGACGTTCGGCCACTATCTCGCCTTGTGGTAAGCGATGATGCGGCCTAAGATGAAGCACGTCTGCCCATAAGCAACCAACTCGGGTCTTGAAGAAACCCAGGTTATACCCTTCAGGTAACACAGACTCTGGCAAAGAATTCCACTCCATAGCCGTACGTACTATCCTGTTTGTAAAGTTTAGGATTATCAGAGAACATGGCTGCCTAAGCCGGTGCCTGGTCGCTGTCAAATGTGCAGGCTTTGCGGTCTCCTAGTTGACTGTTACAATACCCGTTGCAAGACTATGGTTGCAGACAAATGTATACTTCTCTATCATCACTAGACGGCTTAAACTATCAACACCGCGAGGACACCGGTGACCGCAACCTATTGTTCTTTAATTGTGTCTATAATGACGGTACTCAACGAGTAAAATAAATTATACCTAGTTTAAGTTTCTAAAATCATTAGTATTTAGGGTTAGTTTACCGCTATTAATGTGTTCTTCGATTTATAGCATCCACAATCCAGTTATTTTGTATTTTCTATTAAACAATAGATACTTCGAAGCAAAAACATCCAATAACGAGAGTAACGAGAAAAAAAATTGGGTCATTTTCAGAAACAAGTCCGCTCTAATACATACAACAGGCAATCATTATTGTTGTTAGTATGAAATGCAAAAAAGCTCAGAAAATATCTCAAAACCTTTAAAAAATGTACTTGTGGCCCATGAGGGGATCGAACCCGCGACCTTCGCGTTATTAGCACGACGCTCTAACCAACT